TGTAAGCTAATCGTCGAAAAGTAAATATGAATGTTTGCGCACCAGATGTTGATAAAAACATGAAATATATTGAAATAAACCGAGATTTAAGAAAAATTTTAGTGATGCTTATTTCTGTTTCTATAAGAGATTATTAAAAATTTAGAGTTGTTAGTCACTTACGTGAAAATAAGGACCTTCTCGTGGCCTAGCCAATATGAAACGACATTTTTTAACGAAAAACGTCTCTGCGGGGCGTTAGTAAAATTAAGAATTAGAAGAAGAAATCAGAAAATGGAAATGTTATAAGAGTAAATTTCTTCAAATCAAAGTATAGAAAGTAGGGTTTTATGCTTTTCAAGGGTCTCCTTGAAAAGCATAAAATAATTTTAGAGAGCAAGCGGAAACAGATATTTGTACCTAATTTCCTATAATACGTACTTTTAAACAACCACTTAGCTTGCATCCGATTCCTGTTTTTTGTAATTATAGCAAGATTAGGTTGCTGATTTTAATCAAGTCAATTTTTTTTAATGAGATCAGGTATAGACCTCTTTTGTTTCTATGCAAGCTGACATCATATTGTCCATTGCTTACACCAAAATATATGAATTCTTAAAATCTGCAATTTATCCTAAATGCAGTGTTTGTTAAAGTCAAAATTATTTAATTGACTTTATCTTTAAGTCATTATTTCTTTAAGAGATATATACCCATTACTCATTACTGTTGACTATTGCCTCCAATACAAAACATCAGAGAATTTAAAACACTTATAGATACCTAAACAGATCAATCTATTTAGAATGACTTTTGCTGGTACATCAAGATATACATTCATTCATTGACGTATTCTCCTTTCCGAGAATTTTTCATTATGTACTCAAGAAGTTTCGCTAGATCCATATACACGATAAATCTAATAAGTAATAGCATCGTCGAAATTCCAGAGGAAACAAATATCGATCAATTAACGTAATGTATAGAATGAAAAGATAATACTCAATAATTATTAAGGAAGTGCTTCATTAATTAACTAAAAGTTAGTAAACTTTTTAATTAGAATATTTGCATACAAATTGTATGTGAACAGACCAGACACTTTCGAAGGATTGAAAAATCGAATCAGAGAAGTTCGAAACATGACACCAAATGTTATTCAAAATGTAATCGATAACTTTGAGCACCGAATTGGGCACTATACAATGGTTAATGGGGGCCACTTTGAACATTTGCTGTAATAGAATAAAAAGTAGTACTAAATTATTGTTTCATTTATTAAAACAAACAGCGAAGTGGAAAATTCTAAAGGGCGACATCCAAAAGCCTCCTCCGTAACAACCCGAGGCACACAATAAACATGTCCGAGAGATATGAAGAGGAGACTTCGAATGAACAATGAAAGTCTATCCGTTCTGCTTTGTGATCGTAAATAATGGTGAAATATTCGGAAAGTTGGTCCGGACGTGGAAGCAAATCGCAGTCATATTTCCGGAGTTGGATTTCTGTCCGTCGACTTTAATGGGGAGGATTCACAGTGTGATCCAGCAGCTTGCACCGTGTATCGAACAAACACCGACACGATATTTTATTATTAAAATTATTATGTGAACTAGACAAGTTGAAACACCTGTGCAAGCGTTATCCAACTCACTCCGTTTTCCTTATTTCGAGTATAATTAAGTACCCCGAAATACGTTTTACCTGTAAATCAGTTAAGGGAACACATTTTTACACGAAAAAGGTCATATTTGCCATTCTAGATCCGAAAATACCACACAAGGACTGGAAAATGAAATATATACGTGTTAAAAAAATGATTGTAGCCCAAAGATGGGCTACAATTTTCTTCAGTTGATATTAGAAAAACATATACGCATATGCATCATAAATATCATAATGTTAGAAAATTCAATAAATGGAATTGGATAGGGACTATAGATATTTCGCTGATATATTATTTGCTCCTAATAAAGAATTATTCAAATTCAAATTTCTGAGAATTTCGTGCAGATACGATATCATCGCTTAATGTACATGTCACAAATGTATCTGAATCAGATAATTCAATTTTACTATCAATAACAACCATGCACGACATGCATGTCATTCTATACCTAACTCTCCATTAGTCAGGGTTTTTTAAATACTGGAATAATGATGTCACTACGTTTTGCTAATATTCACTTTTGAATGTGGTAAGGACAAAAAAAAGTTATTTGTCAACTATAATTTATATAGAAAATACGACTGATACAATTTGAGTCACGCAAATTTTATAGATCTTCTACAAAAGTTTCAAAAGGTTGTTGCTTTTGTCATCACAATTCCGTTAAAATTTTTTGCAAAAGTAATACAATATAGGAAGAAAACAGTACGAACTTGAAATAAAACACATAGTATTCAAGTGCAGTAAGCAAACGAATTTAATAAATACTTTTAATGATAATTATTTAACAACATATAAACAATTTCCAAATTTTTAAATTTGAAAGGACCAAAACAATATATAATTTTTTACACAATATTTTTCTGTGTGTGAATTTAATTAATAAATAATAGGCTACTGCGGGGCAGATATTAAAAGAAATTGAGGTTTAACATTTATATTTAATGAAAACTAGTGATAATAATAGTTATTTATTCTATAAGTGTTTTAAGTAACATTTTATCCACGCAAGAATGTTTAAATGCGAGAACGTAGTTCAAGCGTTTAATATTCTTAAATGGATAAAAGACAATTAAAACACGAATGCAATACAACGTTTTATCCATAATCACATCACAATCAAATCCAAGGAAAATATAGCTGTTCCTTACAAGACGAGACATCCGTAACTTTTGCAAATTATTCACTAACTTCGGCAGATGTTATGCGTTCCGAAAATGATGGCAACAATGCTACAAGAGTTGTTATTAATGGAAAGGAAGTTAAATGTGATAAAACAAAAAACGAAATGTCTATTACTATAAATGTTAATGTTAATAAGTACATAAATTAAATTCACTTATTATTTTTTCATTATTCTACTAGTGAAATAAAGTTACTTTATTCCACTAGTGGATAAAGTATCACTTTAAACGGTTCATATGTATGGATAAAAGTCCGATTATAAGGTGACTCTGGATAAAACAATAAATGCAGGTTGTATATCTTAAAAATCCCTGAAATATCTCACAATCAGTTGGGCTCCGTGTTGTTGTTAAATTCAAGATATTTTTCTGTATAGGTTAATTTATAACTTCTTATAAATAATATTTTTACTGTGCCTTACTAGATTAGGAAAATTCGAATCACATTTTGAAAATTCTGCTATGGAATTGCCTTAAAAAAACTAACAATAACGTAAACCAAACTAACCAGAAAAAAACCATTATAATTTTAATGGACATTAACTGGATATGTCGTGCTGTTGATACGATACAAAAAAATCAATTGAAGAATACAACACGCATGTGATACTCGGCTAAAATCCTGTGCATTTATATCCGCTACAGTTAGAGCACGCAAGGATTTCTATTTTATACGGTAAATGTAGGACAATCAATTTTTATTATCCTGTAGGGAAAAGTCACGTAAGCCTGATTGTATAGATGTCGTTAGTCATAATTTGTCAAAAATGAAAGTAATTACATGAGAATAATGTTAAATAAGGTAAGGAATATGTTATTATGGCAAAGTGGTTAAAAAGAACACAATAATTTGATCCGTGTTCTTCCTAAAAACACAAAAAACAATTATTATATACCACGTATGTACAAATAGTTTAATCTTAATAATTATTGAAAAATATACACCTAAATTTGTTTAAAATTGGGCCTAGTTAAATATTTTCAGAAAATTCTCTAAATTTTACAATAAATGTTAGGGGAAACAGGTGCAATACCAGACAAAAAACAGACAAATCCATTACATGAACAGAATATATTTCGTATTATTTCGATCCATATCTAAACGCATTTTAATATAAATAATATAAATGCTTGTTGTTACGTGGTTGTTAGATTGTTCAAAAACATCATTCAAAACATTCTCCCATGCACCTAATATGTTTCAGGTATCAGAATTCCGGAGAAAAAGAGAGCCAATTTTATCCAAGTCCCTAATAGGGAGGCAATAGAAATCCGGAAAAATGAAGATAATTTCAATCGAGAAAAATATACTGATTCTAATAATAATATTCAATCCGTGAATCTCAGTCTAACATCACACACACAGCAAGGAGAAATAACAATAACAGTTTATAAATTTGCAAAAGAGTTGATAAAGATCAATAAACATTGTCGATTATTGAATTTTTAGAATATAAATTTTCACTACCTATATTTTTTTCTACCAATTTCACTAACAAATACTTTCAAGTTAAAACTGTATACGACGGCAATGAATGTAGGAAGTATAATTCGACGCGTTTCTAAAAGACAGCACACGATTTCTTGGCGTACTTAAAACGTTGGCACATTTTGCCCTACTTTCCCCTACTAATAAAAACCCAATAAAAAGAGTGACTAGTACTACGGTGTTGACGAAGTCAATCCTATTTTTGTCCGTGCGGGCTATCTTTAGAAGCAAATGTCCAAAATTGGTTCTATATTTACCGTATAGAAATCGGTGAAGTCACCCGCGAAAAACTTCAGGAATGGCCTAATGACCACGAAAATAAGTTTTGGCGCAGGTGGGCCGTTTCAACAAATTCTAAAGTTATGATGAAGCCGGTGAGAGTAAAACCGGTGAGTAATTCTCGTACGGTGAACGTCTGTGTAGCCGGTCAGTAAACGGTTATTTTTAATTTTCGCTTCTAATTGAACATACCACCTTAGAGGTAGCACAGTGGCAAAATTCCACGTTAAATCAAATAACCAGAATAAATAATACTTTAATATAACAAAGCCATTTTTTATTTTAAGCAAATAAATCCTCAATCTAGTCATCCTCAACGACGATTTTCAAAATGTGACGCTGTCATTTAAGTTCCATATACTTTTTCAGTTTCAAAAGTAAATTATACTTAATTCTAACTATGACGGACAAAAAACCTAGACTTCGTGATCCTGTGAAGGAGCAACAGATGTGGAAGGTCTACATACAGTCTGAAGATGACGGCGCCAAAATTTGGAAGCATAATTGGGGCTGGATACTAGATGAATACAAGTAAGGATATCAACGTCCCCTTTTAAGAGTCCTACATCTGTTCTAGAGGCAGTTTGAAGACATTAGAATTAAATTATCAGTGTATTGGGTTGATGAAGTTCGTAGCTCTGCATTCAAAATTTATTTCCTTTTAATAAACAAAATACTTGATGTAATCATTGTGTACGATTGCCTCCCAATGATCTGGCAGTTTTTCTGATTGTTGAGAAGTGAAAAATTCACCAAACTTTGTCCTTTCTAGATGTCTGAAAAAGACGCTCGACGAAAAAACCGAACAATCGACATTTTTAGCTGCCGTGAAAGAGGAAGTCAAAGAGGATAACAGAAAACTTAGCAAGATACCGGAATCCATCAACCATTTCTATGGATGGGTTGCTAAAGAGGAAGATTTCAAGTTGGAGAAATATGGGCCTGATTACTTCAAAGCTCTACAGTTGCCGGACATATTCAAACTGATTAAATAATTTTGTCAGATAGCTATAAAATTATTGCCATACTGTCGTCGTGCTTCTAGAAAGGAACATTTTTTAATAAACTCAAACTACAAAATGTGTGGTACCTGCACTAGTAGCGTATCTTATAAAACCAATGTCCCTAATAACCTGAAAGTCATTAAAGTTACTGGTGTAGGCAATAGAAAGGATTCAACTTATGAACAATATTACAAACCCAAAATAAATACATCTAAATTACATATACAGGGTGGCCCAATAGTGTGACAGTTCAATATCTCCCTTATTATAAAGATTTGAAAAGAAATATTTTATGGGAGTGATGTACTTAAAAAATTCATTTTAAAAATATTTTGAATTATACAGGGTGATGCATTAGGGCGGAGCATCTTTAAAGTGGTTTTTCTTAAACGGAACACTGTATATTTTTACAAATTTGTGCTCTACAGAAAATTATCTTTCCTGCAAGATTACTGTTGTTTAATTGTCAGTAGTGTAAACTGCTGAAGTTTAAAAATATTTCCAAATGAATTTTTCTCAATCAGAAATCGTTGATATGATTTATGTATGTATGTAAAACAAAGACAGCTAGAAAGAGAATTTTCTGTAGAATACAAATTTGTAAAAATATACAGTGTTCCATTTAAGAAAAACCACCTTAAAGATGCTCCGCCCTAATGCATCACCCTGTATAATTCAAAATATTTTTAAAATATGAACTTTTTTAAGTCCATCACCCCCATAAAATATTTATTTTTAAATCTTTATAATAACTTTGACACACTATTGGGCCACCCTATATGTATCAAGACCTACCTGAAGAAAATATGTTTAAAGTCAAAAGTTTTAAATTCCATCATAAAAATTTCTACTTCCTTTTAACGCCCCCATATAATTTACATTTATTTGTGTACCTACTGACCTAATTTGTTCATTAAATTTAGATATCAACTCATCTGTTTACGAATTTTTGGAGATGAATAAATACGAGTATAATGATTACTTCACGATCTAACGGCGTCAAGTCTGAGTCATCAATTTTCATTTAAAAGTTAAAAAAATAATAAATGGAAATGCTTATGCGTATTTCGAAGACTGCTAAGTTCAATATTCGTTCTCAATAACCTTTGACATGTTTTTTTATAGACCTAAAACATTATTCAAGATAATGACCAAGAAAGTAACCCAATCTACTATACGGGGTGGTCCATTTATTTATTTTGAGCTTATCAGATTGTTTTTAATGTTTTTTTGGTTCTGTTATTACTTGTATCTTTTATTTTTGTATTAACTGGCCTGCCCCGTAAAAAGTTTTTGCTGTTGGGTATTAAAATAAAACAAGACCATTTAAAGTTGATTTTAACAACACAGCGTTCAATCAAACAGCTCATATCCTGTTCTCGAGACAGGGAATAAATTAAAGGACACCAAGGAAACTAGGAAAACTTATCCCATTCGCCCCGCATCGAAACTTATAACGATTATCTGTCTCTTTTCTTCCATTAGCTTTAAAAACTCTAGAGTATGCCCTTTTCTCCCCTGCCTCCTTTTGTTAGCGTAATCGAGGCCCCGTTACCTATACGGGAGGAGCCTACGGGGCGGATGTGCTTCCTTCCTTCCGGTCTTTAGCCAATGAAACAAGCTAGTTACGTAACCATGGCTACGGGCCCGGATATAACACACGTCAGGGACCCACCCATTGCTAAACGGCTCCTTTGAACGGTTCTTATTAAAGGCATAAGCAGAACTTATGGGCGTCGATAAATTTCTGCAGTAATCAGGCCGGAGCGCAGTTCAGTCCTGGATATATTGCCCTCTAAGACCGTTTTATCGAAATTAGTTTTGGTTTCAGTGCTGCGTTACGTCCTGGGACGTCCTTAAATTAGCTTATTCGATGGGTCGATTACTTGTTTAACAACGACGAGAGCGATTTTAGGGGCCCGTTAACGGTTGTTTTCTTTCGTTTCCAGATAAAATAAGCGTTAAATCGGTGAGCATGAAAATGGTTAGTGATAATTGGTTTTGGGAAAAATCCTGGAATCTACTATAAATTTCTAAGTTCTCAAAGCTGATATTGTTGTCTTTTTTTAAATTTCAGGTTTTTCCTCAGCCACGACCCTAAGATAATTTTTTATTGCAGGTTTTCTGCAGGTACAGGGTGTAAGAAAGCTTTCGACTACCTATTTCTGCGTTACTAGATTTTAGAATATAAATTTATCCAACATAATAATTGTCTTAATGGTAAAGCCATGTTGACCTACAATTATATTAATATAGATATATTACTTAGAATTGACAGATTGTTGTTATACTACATCAAAGTTTTTTCTATATGTGCCAAATTTATACAAAATTGAAATAAAAACCAAAACTAAGCAATTACTTTCACCAGAATGATGAAACAAGTGTTGCATTCTACAATTTATCTAATTTTATGGATGGCAGAATTGAAATATAACTGTTTGTACCTACTCCAAAAAATTGAGCATGCGCACTTGTTGAATTTTTGAAGTAACACAAGATTCAAATTATTTGCAAGCGAAAATGTAGCGAAAATATTAATAATAACCAGCTAGCTGCAAAAGAAATATTGGTTTATTCTGCTGTACCTATGGACTCTGCAGTTCAATTTTTTCCTATGTCTAATAGTTCCAAATGCTGTTTTACACAACAATTTATAAACTGTTATTCCAAAATTTGCACGATTTCAATTTCTCCGAAAATATCATGATGAAATAAATCACCCGGGTTTCGGAAGATGTCTGAAATTAATAAGAGATCAATTTTGGTTCCCGAAAATGTTTCGTTTTATTAAAAAGTATATAGCTGCGTGTTTGCATTGTGGATATAGTAAAGGTGCATATGGTAAAATTGAAGGTGAATCCGATACCAAAGCCGGAAGAGCCAATGCAACAGTGCATATTGAACATGTAGGCCCATTTCCAAAAAGTAAATAAGGTTTTTCGTATATTTTAACTATAGTCGATTCTTTTACTAAATATATAGTTGTAAGACAGAGAACTCTAGGTTCGGCAGAATGCATTAAGAATCAGAGGCAAATTTTTGGAGAACTTTAGGGTTACCCTAAACGCATAATTTCTGACAATGGGTTGACTTTTACTAGTCGGTATGTCAAAGAATTTTTAAGTGATAACAGATCAGTCATATCAGAACTGCGAATGTTACACCCAGAGCAAATGGTGAGGTAGAGCGGTTCCATCGAACCTTATTAGATGCACTGACAATTTATTTTTCAACAAATTAATGAATTGCACAATTTACTGATGACCGCTTTACACATTTCAACATTTGCAATAATTTATTGGCCAATTTCATGCCAACCTCGAACCTCGTCAACTCTCAATCTCAAATCATCATAATAGGGTTGGCATTTAAAAAAAAATACAAAATATAACTAGATATCTCTAAAATTGATACCAATAAATTAGAACATGTTCTAGATCTCCAATTTCTTAATCAAGTTATTGAAGTCATAAATTGTACTCCAATTTCTGTTTCACCTTCATAAAATAAACTTTATTGTTCAATAAATTGTTGTGTGTAAAACAGTTTCAAGATATCTCTGTTTCTTACAATACTAAAATCACACTTTTTCTACCAGTGGGTACCATTTTGTATTGCTCTCATTTATCTTCGAGTCTTCAGAAACAACGCTATACAGCCCTGTATAGTCTTTTCGAAGTCAGTTGAACATGTATAAAAACGCCTAGCAATAAAATTTAATGAGTTTCATAGGCGTCCCTAAAAAAGTTTTCTGCTAAAGGTAAAAATTATAATAATTTGTATATTAATTTGTATATAATGTGTAGAAAATTTCTGTATGTTCATTTGACCAACAACACTTACGTCCTCAAACAATTTTATTATATTGATGGTAAATTTCGTTTTGTTCCGTTTCAAAAGGTCTCCAAAATAGCATGTTGTGATAATATTAGTAAACAAAATATCCCTCTTATTTCTCCCTTTTGCAATTGTAATATAAATGACCAATAGAATGTGCTTATAATAAATTAAAATTACTTGAATCACACCAAATCCCGCATTGCTGCACTGCACTGCTAAGCCATTTGTTGACAACTGAATTTATGGCCAGGTCGCCTAGTGTTGCTGTGTTTGTGCCGCGTTTGCCAGTGCCTCATTCCTCAACCGGGCGACCAGACCTGTATAAGTATGGGTAAGGCTAAACAAATATGGGAACTAGTTTTTTAAATATTTCAATGCCTAGTTGCTGCGTCAGCGACCAAACCTGGTACATACTGCCATTCTCTTGATTCTTCAATTGAGATCGGAAAGACTATAGCAAATAATTTAAATTCGTTGTATCGAAAACATTCAAAGGTAAATATCTCGAAAATGGTTACTCATAGCGACACTTGAAGGGTACACCTTTTTTTATGAAAAATGATAAAAAAATGAAAAAATATAACAAGCAGATATACCGAGAAGCAAAAAGTTATGATACTTTAAAGTTATGCTAAGTGCCGCAAGTGGCGCCCTCTAATAACCGCAAAATTATGATCCTCAAAATTTGTGCAACATCTGTAATTTTGTAAAGGTAATTTATGAAAAGAAAATTTCACCCTGACGCCCTGTAATTTTTTAAGTCTCAACTTGGGTTAAATCGTAATATTTTAGTCCACTGCTTACAAAACACCCTGTATGAAAAAATAGAACTGTTCAAGGATTCGGCGTTAGGTGGACTGAAAGTTTACCAGTAACGGCTGGTGCGGGCGGGCTATGCTATCTACATAATTAAAAAAATTAATCTTTAAAAAAACATGTTAAAAATGAAATGTTAAATTTGCAATATTCAGTCAATTTAACTCGACTTGCAAAATTCGTTTGCAAAACTCTGAATGCGTGGGCTCCTCGTAGCTCGCCTCTACATCTGCAAAGTGTTTACAGCGGTGGTCATGGGTACCATCGCGTCGCGCAGCAGTCAAAGACGGAGTGGGAGTAGCGCATGTTTACCACGCAGTTTCGGCTCTGTT